GGCTGGTCACAATCTTTTAAGGCTGATCCCAATCTTTTAAGTCTAATTCCAATCTTATAAGGCTGACTCCAGTTTTAAAAGGCTGATCCCAAACTTTTAAGGCTGATCCCAATCTTTTAAGGCTGATCTCAATCTTTTAAGGCTGATCCCAATCTTTTAAAGCTCATCCCAATCTTTTAAGGCTGATCCCAATCTTTTAAGTCTGATCCCAATCTGCTAAAACTGATCCCAATCCTCTAAGGCTGATCCCAATCTTTTAAGACTGATTGCAATCTTTTAAGGCTGATTCCAATCTTTTAAGACTGATTCCAATTTTTTAAGGCTGAATCAAGCCTTGAAAGTCTGATCCCAATCTGTTAAGTCTGATCCCAATCTTTTAAGTTTGATCTCAATCTTTCAAGACGGTTCCCAATCTTTTAAGGCTGATCCCAATCTTTTAAAACTGATCCCAATCTTTTAAGGCTGATTCCAATCTTTTAAGACTGATTCCAATCTTTTAAGGCTGATTCCAGCCTTAAAAGTCTGATCTCAATCTTTTAAGTCTGATCCCAATCTTTTAAAACTGATCCAACCTTTTAAGGATGATTCCAATCTTTTAAGACTGATTCCAATCTTTTAAGAATGATTCCAGCCTTAAACGTCTGATCCCAATCTTTTAAGGCTGATTCCAATCTTTCAAGGCTGATCTCAATCTTCTAAGGCTGATCCAAATCTTCTAAGGCTGATCCCAATCTTCTAAGACTGATCCCAATCTTCTAAGGCTGGTTCCAATCTTTTAAGGCTGATCCCAATCTTTTAAGGCTGATCCCAATCTTCTAAAGCTGATCCCAATCTTCTATCGCTGATCCCAATCTTTTAAGACTGATTCCAATCTTTTAAGGATGATTCCAGCCTTAAAAGCCTGATCCCAATATTTTAAGGCTGATTCCAATCTTTTAAGGCTGATCCCAATCTTTTAAGGCTGATCCCAATTTTCTAAGGCTGGTCCCAATCTTTTAAGGCTGATTCCAATATTTTAAGGCTGATCCCAATCTTCTAAGGCTGATCCCAATCTTCTATGGCTGAGCCCAATCTTTTAAAACTGATTCCAATCTTTTAAGGATGATTTCAGCCTTAAAAGTTTGATCCCAATCTTTTAAGGCTGATCCCAATCTTTTAAAACTGATCCCAATCTTTTAAGGCTGATTCCAATCTTTTAAGACTGATTCCAATATTTTAAGGCTGATTCCAGCCTTAAGAGTCTGATCTCAATCTTTTAAGTCTGATCCCAATCTTTTAAGACTGATCCAACCTTTTAAGGCTGATTACAATCTTTTGAGGAGGATTCCAGCCTTAAACGTCTGATCCCAATCTTTTAAGGCTGATTCCAATCTTTCAATGCTGATCTCAATCCTCTAAAGCTGATCCCAATCTTCTAAGGCTGATCCCAATCTTCTAAGACTGATCCCAATCTTCTAAAGCTGATTCCAAACTTTCAAGGCTGATCTCAATCCTCTAAGGCTGATCCCAATCTTCTAAAGCTGATCCCAATCTTCTATGGCTGATCCCAATCTGTTAAGACTGATTCCAATCTTTTAAGGATGATTCCAGCCTTAAAAGTCTGATCCCAATCTTCTAAGGCTGATTCCAATCTTTTAAGGCTGATCCCAATCTTTTAAGGCTGACCCCAATCTTCTAAGGCTGATTCCAATCTTTTAAGGCTGATCCCAATCTTCTAAGGCTGATCCCAATCTTCTATGGCTGATCCCAATCTTTTAAGACTGATTCCAATCTTTTAAGGATGATTCCAGCCTTAAAAGTATGATTCCAATCTTTTAAGGCTAATCCCAATCTTTTAAGGCTGATCCCAATCTTCTAAAGCTGATCACAATCTTCTAAGGCTGATCCCAATCTTTTAAGGCTGATCCCAATCTTTTAAGGCTGATCCCAATCTTCTAAGGCACATCCCAATCTTCTAAGGCTAATCCCAATTTTTTAAGACTGATTCCAATCTTTTAAGGATGATTCCAGCATTAAAAGTCTGATCCCAATCTTATAAGGCTGATTCCAATCTTTAAAGGCTGATTCCAATCTTCTAAGGCTGATCCCTATCTTCTAAGGCTGATCCCAATCTTTTAAGGCTGATCCCAATCTTCTAGGGCAGATAACAATCTTCTAAGGCTAATCCCAAACTTTTAAGACTGATTCCAATCCTTTAAGGATGATTCCAGCCTTAAAAGTCTGATCTCAATCATTTTAGGCTGATTCCAATTTTTAAAGGCTGATCCCAATCTTCTAAGGCTGATCCCAATATTCTAAGGCTGATCCCAATCTTTTAAGGCTCATCCCAATCTTTTAAGGCTGATCCCAATCTTCTAAGGCAGATCCCAATCTTTTAAGGCAGATCCCAATCTTTAAGGCTGATCCCAATCTTTTAAGTCTGATCCCAATCTTTTAAGGCTGATTCCAATCTTTTAAGGGTGATTCCAATCTTTTAAGGCTGATCCCAATGTTTTAAAGCTGATCCCAATCTTCTAAGACAGATCCCAGTCTTCTGTGGCTGATCCCAATCTTTTAAGGCTGATCCCAATCTTTTAAGTCTGATCACAATCTGTTAAGGCTGATTCCAATCTTTTAAGGCTGATCCCAATCTTCTAAGGCAGATTCCAATCTTCTATGGGTGATTTCAATCTTTTAAGATTGATTCCAATCTTTTAAGACTGATTATAGGCATAACGGAACTCAAATTCCCGAGGATTAAATTGTATCGAACATGAAATAATCAGAGATTAATTGTCGATTAATTGTACTTGTACAAGGTATACAAGTACTTGTACAAGGTACACAAGTACATGTACAAGGTATACAAGTACATGTACAAGGTATACAAGTACATGTACAAGGTACACAAGTACATGTACAAGGTATACAAGTACTTGCACAAGGTATACAAGTACATGTACTAGGTATACAAGTACATGTACAAGGTATACAAGTACATGTACAAGGTATACAAGTACATGTACAAGGTATACAAGAACATGTACAAGGTATACAAGTACATGTACAAGGTATACAAGTACATGTACAAGGTATACAAGTACTTGCACAAGGTATACAAGTACATGTACAAGGTATACAAGTACATGTACAAGGTATACAAGTACATGTACAAGGTATACAAGAACATGTACAAGGTATACAAGTACATGTACAAGGTATACAAGTACAAGGCTAACAGATTACTTGGATTTATCTCAAGAAGTATAAGTAACAGAAGTCCAAAAGTTATTTTACAGCTCTATACATCACTAGTGAGGCCTCATTTAGATTATGCTGCTCAGTTTTGGTCCCCTTACTACAGGATGGACATAGACTCATTAGAGAACATACAGAGAAGAATGACTAAAATGATTTACTGTGTAAGGAACCTCCCGTATGAAGATAGACTTAAAGCCTTAAATCTCCACTCTCTGGAGAGGCGTAGAATGAGGGGAGATATCATTGAAGTGTATAAGTGGATGACGGGCATAAACAAGGGAGACATTAATAAAGTACTGAGGGTGTCGAACCAGGTAAGAACCAGGAATAATGGATTTAAGTTAGATAAATTTAGATTTAGAAAGGACATAGGTAAGTACTGGTTTTCTAACAGAGTTGTAGATGCGTGGAACAGTCTTCCCAGTGGGGTGATAGAGGCTAGGACCTTGGGTAGCTTTGGGAGAGGCTGGGTTTGATTGGTGTCGTTGGGTACAGGAGTAAATTCTTGGGTAGCTTTGGGTAGAGATGGTTTTGTGCACGAATGGTATATAATACCGACAAGATGAGAGTAAGACACATGTGCAACATCTGGGTATCTTTATTGTAGACGTTTCGCCATCCAGTGGCTTTATCAATACAAATTCTAGGACATAACTTGAAGACAGTAGAACTATGTACAGAAGATGAGGTAATCAGTCCCTCAACCTAGCAGTAGGTGCGAAGAGCACCATAGTCGTGGAGATTCTGAAGCAGAAGAAAGAATCCTGGCGCTTATATAGTAACGTCAGGTGTAGCAGACGAGGGCAAATTCACTGGTGGGCGGGATTCCCCAGCGGAAGCAGGTCCCTCCCAAAGAGATGGCGAAACGTCTACAATAAAGATACCCAGATGTTGCACATGTGTCTTACTCTCATCTTGTCGGTATTATATACCATTCGTACACAACTTGTCAGACACTGCAGCATCATGGAATCTTGGTTCTGAGGACATGTACATAACCTTCACGACTACGACAACTACTACTACAACTAACCCATCTCTTTGGGAAGGACCTACTTCCGCTGGGGAGTCCCACCTACCAGTGACTATGCCCTCGTCTGCTTCACCTGACGTTACTATATAAGCGCCAGGATTCTTTCTTCTGCTTCAGAATCTCCACGACTATGGTGCTGTTCGCACCTACTCCTAGGTTGAGGGACTGATTACCTCATCTTCTGTATATAGTTCTACTGTCTTCAAGTTATGTCCTAGAATTTGTAGAGATGGTTTTGACAAGTACCTGCCTTGTATGGGCCAGTAGGCTTTCTGCAGTGTTCCTCCATTCTTATGTTCTTATTTTTTTTAGCGATCAGGCCACTGGGCACCGTGAATCTATAGAAAACAGGAGAATCACGGAAGATATGATAACGATATACAAAATACTTAGATGAATTAATATAATATGCAGGGATAATTTGAGAAGCAAATGCTAACAAAAACAGTTGAGAAACAGCCAAGAAATATTTCATCTATCTCAGGATGGAGAGCAAGTTCTATACATGGTCTTAAGACTAGGTACGGTAGGGGCCACGAGGCTAGAAGGAAATAAATCTAACAACTGTTAAGCTGAGAGGCGGGTTCAGGAGCTAGGACTGCACCCCTATAACTACATAAGAACATAAGAACAAAGGAACACTGCAGCAGGCCTACTGGCCCATGCAGGGCACGTCCATCTCAACCCCCGGCTTAACATATAAGTAATTACACACAGACACACTCACCTCTCTATAGATGAAAACATTGAAGACCATCAGACTGAGGAAGGGCACCAGATACATCACAATCAGGTACATCCACATTATATAGATCTGAATGTAGTATTGATTTTGTCGTAACTCTGACGCTACTACGATGACGAATCTTTCGTTCATCACGTAGCATTCCTGTAGACAAAATCAAAGTTAGACTCCATAAATATTGTACCATTGTTACTATTGCTATTATTACTATTACTACTGCTGGAAATAAATGGTATAAAATACCATTGGTTGGATTTGAGTGGGACTTGCATGTGAGAGTGGACAAAGTTACCAGAGCTTATTTCTTGGGTGGCATTGAAAATTGGGTTGGGCAAATGTTTTGTTAGTGGGATGGATTGTAAAGGACCTGCCTAGTATGGGCCAACAGGCCTGCTGCAGTGTTCCTCCTTTCTTATGTTCTTATGTAATTATTGTCGTTATTATTATTATTTTTGTTATTATTATTTTCCAGCAAGTCGGTCGTCTCCCACCGAGGCAGGGTGACCCAAAACTCCTCCTTTGAAGTCCTGGCATTGTACTTCCCATTTCCAGGACTCAAGTCCGGCTAACCGGTTTCCCTAAATCCCTTCACAAAATATTACCCTGCTCTCACTCCAACAGCTCATCAGGTACCAAAAACTATTCGTCTCCATTCACTCCTAACACACTCCCACATGCTTGCTGGAAGTCCAAGCCCCTCGCCCACAAAACCTCCTTTACCCCGTCCAACCTTTTCGAGGATGACCCCTATCCCTCCTTCCTTCACCTACAGATTTATACGCTCTCCATGTCATTCTACTTTGATCCATTCTCTCTAAATGGCCAAACCACCTCAACAACCCCTCTTCAGCCCTCTCACCACCTCAACAACCCCTCTTCAGCCCTCTCACTAATACTTTTAGTAATTCCACACGTCCTCCTAATTTCCACACTCCGAGTTCTCAGCACAATATTTACACCACACATAGCCCTTAGACAAGACATCTCTGCCTCCAGTCGCCTCCTCGCTGCAACATTTACAACCCAAGATTCATACCCATTTTATAATTTTTAGTAATATTATTATTATTATTCAGTAAATCCGTATGGGTGGCTGAGCTTAGGAAACCACAGATGTCATACCTCGTAAGAAACTTCCCAAAACCTGGGAAAGTTGTAAATAATGGAGAAGAAAGCCACGCTTATAACGTAGATTTTCGCACGTCCGTAGGTGCACAGGGAGCGAGCTCGTAGCGGCCGACAGACAGCGATGTACCGCTCTACCGTCACGGTAACTGTGAGGTAGACTGACCCAGTCTGGGCTATAAGAGCGAGGGGGAAAACAAACGGGGTGACGCGCTGGAAGACGCCTTCTGTGTACCAAGTTATGGTCTTGGTGTACTCGCCGATCTCAGTGAGTCCAAACATGAGGATCGAGGTGGTGGTGACGATCATGTCGAAGGTGGTGAGACCCATCAGACAGCAGTTGATGGAGGACCGCATCTTCGGTCTGTGGAGAAATGACAGTGTTACAAGAGACTAATAAGAGAACCGAGATGGTGGTGACGATCATGTCGAAGGTGGTGAGACCCATCAAACAGCAGTTGATGGAGGACCGCATCTTCGGTCTGTGGAGAAATGACAGTGTTACAAGAGACTAATAAAGGAACCGAGGTGGTGGTGATGATCATGTCGAAGGTGGTGAGACCCATCAAACAGCAGTTGATGGAGGACCGCATCTTCGGTCTGTGGAGAAATGACAGTGTTACAAGAGACTAATAAGAGAACCGAGATGGTGGTGACGATCATGTCGAAGGTGGTGAGACCCATCAAACAGCAGTTGATGGAGGACCGCATCTTCGGTCTGTGGAGAAATGACAGTCTTACAAGAGACTAATAAGAGAACCGAGATGGTGGTGACGATCATGTCGATGGTGGTGAGACCCATCAAACAGCAGTTGATGGAGGACCGCATCTTCGGTCTGTGGAGAAATGACAGTGTTACAAGAGACTAATAAGAGAACCGTTGACGATCATGTCAATTGTGGTGAGACCCATCAGACAGCAGTTGATGGAGGACCGCATCTTCGGTCTGTGGAGAAAAGATATCAGAGTACACTAAATATAAGAATCCAGGTGGGGGAGAGAACTAGGTATAAAGAACATCCTTGTGTCTTTGGAGTAACCTTTGGATTGTAGCCAGATGAGAATCAGTCTTGTCCTTACGATACATAAGCCTTAAATCGTGAGAAAAAACTGGGTCATGTATCGCACATATGTGCATTACTTTGGTAATACACATATGTGCACAACATACTTCTCATGTCGACAGATATTCCAAAATTTCTGAGTGAAAAGGAATATCAGTGACTTCTAAATCTCTGTTTTTCTTTCAAATTCAATTGACTTTAGATTGCCATAGAACTTAAATATGCAGAACATAAAGTAAGTTACTAAAATTAGAAGACTATTTCAACTCTTCACGGGTTGATAACCTTCCAAAATTTATATGAATCAGGATTCTTACCATTTCACTGCAGTGAAATGTTAAAAATCCTGATTCATATAAACATTCTCAGATATTAAAACGTCAAGAAAAATGTATTACTGAGCAAGTTACACGACGTTTTTATGTAGTTATTAGAAGGTTTAATGAGGACCCAAAATCACTAGTTTTTCTTAGACTCATCTGAGGTGTGTTAACTTCATCTTAGACTCATCTGAGGTATGTTAACTTTATCTTAGACTCATCTGAGGTGTGTTAACTTTATCTTAGACTCATCTGAGGTGTGTTAACTTTATCTTAGACTCATCTGAGGTGCGTTAACTTTATCTTAGACTCATCTGAGGTGTGTTAACTTTATCTTAGACTCATCTGAGGTGTGTTAACTTTATCTTAGACTCATCTGAGGTGTGTTAACTTTATCTTAGATTCATCTGAGGTGTGTTAACTTTATCTTAGACTCATCTGAGGTGTGTTAACTTTATCTTAGACTCATCTGAGGTGTGTTAACTTTATCTTAGATTCATCTGAGGTGTGTTAACTTTATCTTAGACTCATCTGAGGTGTGTTAACTTTATCTTAGACTCATCTGAGGTGTGTTAACTTTATCTTAGACTCATCTGAGGTGTGTTAACTTTATCTTAGACTCATCTGAGGTGTGTTAACTTTATCTTAGACTCATCTGAGGTGTGTTAACTTTATCTTAGACTCATCTGAGGTGTGTTAACTTTATCTTAGACTCATCTGAGGTGTGTTAACTTTATCTTAGACTCATCTGAGGTGTGTTAACTTTATCTTAGACTCATCTGAGGTGTGTTAACTTTATCTTAGACTCATCTGAGGTGTGCTAACTTTATCTTAGACTCATCTGAGGTGTGTTAACTTTATCTTAGACTCATCTGAGGTGTGTTAACTTTATCTTAGACTCATCTGAGGTGTGTTAACTTTATCTTAGACTCATCTGAGGTGTGTTAACTTTATCTTAGACTCATCTGAGGTGTGTTAACTTTATCTTAGACTCATCTGAGGTGTGTTAACTTTATCTTAGACTCAGCTGAGGTGTGTTAACTTTATCTTAGACTCAGCTGAGGTGTGTTAACTTTATCTTAGACTCATCTGAGGTGCGTTAACTTTATCTTAGACTCATCTGAGGTGTGTTAACTTTATCTTAGACTCATCTGAGGTGTGTTAACTTTATCTTAGACTCATCTGAGGTGTGTTAACTTTATCTTAGACTCATCTGAGGTGTGTTTAAATTTATCTTAGACTCATCTGAGGTGTGTTAACTTTATCTTAGACTCATCTGAGTGTGTTAACTTTATCTTAGACTCATCTGAGGTGTGTTAACTTTATCTTAGACTCATCTGAGGTGTGTTAACTTTATCTTAGACTCATCTGAGGTGTGTTAACTTTATCTTAGATTCATCTGAGGTGTGTTAACTTTATCTTAGACTCATCTGAGGTGTGTTAACTTTATCTTAGACTCAGCTGAGGTGTGTTAACTTTATCTTAGACTCATCCTGAGGTGTGTTAACTTTATCTTAGACTCATCTGAGGTGTGTTAACTTTATCTTAGACTCATCTGAGGTGTGTTAACTTTATCTTAGACTCATCTGAGGTGTGTTAACTTTATCTTAGACTCATCTGAGGTGTGTTAACTGTATCTTAGACTCATCTGAGGTGTGTTAACTTTATCTTAGACTCATCTGAGGTGTGTTAACTGTATCTTAGACTCATCTGAGGTGTGTTAACTTTATCTTAGACTCATCTGAGGTGTGTTAACTTTATCTTAGACTCATCTGAGGTGTGTTAACTTTATCTTAGACTCATCTGAGGTGTGTTAACTTTATCTTAGACTCATCTGAGGTGCGTTAACTTTATCTTAGACTCATCTGAGGTGTGTTAACTTTATCTTAGACTCATCTGAGGTGTGTTAACTTTATCTTAGACTCATCTGAGGTGTGTTAACTTTATCTTAGACTCATCTGAGGTGTGTTAAATTTATCTTGGACTCATCTGAGGTATGTTAACTTTATCTTAGACTCATCTGAGGTGTGTTAAATTTATATTAGACTCATCTGAGGTGTGTTAACTTTATCTTAGACTCATCTGAGGTGTGTTAACTTTATCTTAGACTCATCTGAGATGTGTTAACTTTATCTTAGACTCATCTGAGAAGTGTTAACTTTATCTTAGACTCATCTGAGGTGTGTTAACTTTATCTTAGACTCATCTAAGGTGTGTTAACTTTATCTAAGACTCATCTGAGGTGTGTTAACTTTATCTAAGACTCACATGAGATTCGTTAACTTTATCTTAGACTCATCTGAGAAGTGTTAACTTTATGTTAAACTCACCTGAGATTTGTTAATTTATCTTAGACGCATCTGAGATGTGTTAACTTTATCTCAGACTCATCTGAGAGGTGTTAACCTTATGTTAAACTCATCTGAGGTGTTTTAACATTATCTTAAATTCATCTGAGATGTGTTAACTTTATCTTAGTCTCATCTAAGATGTGTTAACTTATCTTAGACTCATCTGAGATGCGTTAACTTCCTCTTCGACTCATATGAGAAGTGTTAACTTTATGCTAAACTCATCTGATATGTGTTAACTTATCTTAGACGCATCTGAGGTGTTTTAACGTTATCTTAGATTCATCTGAGATGCGTTAACTTCATTTTAGACTCATGTGAGACGTGTTAACTTTATCATAGACTCACCTAAGGTGTTTTATCATTATGTTAGACTCATCTAACATGTGTTAACTTTATCTTAGACTCATTTGAGAGGTGTTAACTTTATGTTAAACTCATCTGAGATGCGTTAACCTTATATTAAACTCGTCTAAGGTGTTTTAACATTATCTTATACTCATCTGAGCTGTGTTAACTTTATCTTAGACTCATCTGAGGTGTGTTAAATTTATCTTAGACTCATCTGAGGTATGTTAACTTTATCTTAGACTCATCTGAGGTGTGTTAAATTTATCTTAGACTCATCTGAGGTGTGTTAACTTTATCTTAGACTCATCTGAGGTGTGTTAAATTTATCTTAGACTCATCTGAGAAGTGTTAACTTTATCTTAGACTCATCTGAGGTGTGTTAACTTTATCTTAGACGCATCTGAGGTGTTTTAACGTTATCTTAGATTCATCTGAGATGTGTTAACTTCATTTTAGACTCATATGAGACGTGTTAACTTTATCATAGACTCACCTAAGGTGTTTTAACATTATGTTAGACTCATCTAACATGTGTTAACTTTATCTTAGACTCATTTGAGAGGTGTTAACTTTATGTTAAACTCATCTGAGATGTGTTAACTTTATATTAAACTCGTCTAAGGTGTTTTAACATTATCTTATACTCATCTGAGATGTGTTAACTTTATCTTAGACTAATCTGAGATGTGCTAACTTTATCTTAGACTCACCTGAGATGCGTTAACTTGACCGTAGACTCATCTGAGATGTGGTTACTTGTCTTAGACTCATCTGAGATGTGTTAACTTTATCTTAGACTCATCTAAGATGTGCTAACTTATCTTAGATTCATTTGAGCTGCGTTAACTTCATCTTAGACTCATTTGAGAAGTGTTAACTTTATGTTAAACTCATATGAGATGTGTTAAATTATCTGAGACGCAGCTGAGGTGTGTTAACGTTATCTTAGACTCATCTGAGAGGTGTTAACTTTATGTTAAACGCATCTGAGGTGTCTTAACAATTTCTTAAACTCATTTGAGATGTGTTAACTTTGTCTTAGATTCATCTGAGACGTGTTAACTTTATCATAGACTCATCAGATGTGTTTTAACATTATTTTAGTCTCATATGACATGTGTTAACTTTATCTTAGACTCATCTGAGATGTGTTAACTTCATTGTAGACTCATATGAGATGTGCTAACTTTAAGATTGACTCATCTGAGATGTGTTAACTTCATGTTTCACTCACAGAGATGAGTTAAATTTAAGTTTAGCTCATCTGAGATGCATTAACTTTATGTTTGACTCATGTGAGATGTGTTAACTTCTCTTAGACTCATCTGAGATGAGGTAACTTTATATTTGACTCATCTGAGATGTGTTAACTTGATGTTTGACT